TGTGTCATAAGCTCCGTAGGGCCTCTGTCTTCATATCTGTAAACTACTTGAGGAAAAAAAACCCTATTTCCCAAATTTTCTCTGGGAAATAAAACAAGATAGTATATATCTAGCAGGCTTCTTTGAGTGTAATAAGATTTCAGTAAGTGCTATTGTTTTTAAAATCACTGAGGCTTGAGCAGGTTTCCTACAATTCCCTGGTACAAGGCTGATGCTAAGTTTTTGTGGGTCTCCTTCTCAGCTACTTGGTGTTGGTAGGTGTGAGTTACCTCTGCTGGATAACAGACACAGAAGTAATGTCTGTCTTGTTATTTATACTTGTAATTTAGTGATATCTGTTTCCTTTCCTAAGGGGCTATTATCATATCAAAGTCGCACTTATTGCAACTTGAATAATGATAAAGTCGTAGCAAGCTATCAACAAATAACTGTGCACTGAGTTTTTACTATGTAAAACGTTGTTTTAAGTAGGCATTCTGGGGTACAAGAATTATAAGCAAAGTTTCTGTGTTTTAGGAACTGTCCATATATTTGGGAAGACATAATATTCATAAAACACTAAATCCTCAAGGTAGGAAATAAAGGCCAAATGAAGAGCATAGATAATCTTTGTGTAAATAAATAAAATGATATTTACTTATTGTATCTTCAAGTACAGATGGTACTTATTTTTTTCCACATTTTTTTTGTTGGTGCAGCATCATTATAATGATGGGATTTGTTATTACATATCCATACATGCACACAACATAACAGTATAATTTGGCCAGTATCACTCCTCAACATAGATAATACACTTATTCTTGATTCCACCCCCTCCCTGACCTTCACATCCAGTTCACCAGTTCTGCTTCTGGAATACATCTCAAATCGATTATTTTCTTTCCATCTCCATCACCATCTTGGAAGTCTATGTGCATCATCATCTCTGTTTGACTATTGCTATGGACCCTGACTGATCTCTCTCTTTCTTTTCTTTTATCTTGTTTCATTTTGTCATTCAATACTAGGGATTGAACCCAGGACCTCACACATGTTAGGAAAGTGCTGTACCACTGAGCTACATCCCAATATCTCTCTCCTTTTACTCCTGTTCTTTCTTCATACTTTCTATACCTGCTAGTCCAAGTGTTCTTTCAAGAACCTAAGTCAGATCATTTCGTTCCTTTGCTCAAAACTCTCCCAGAGAATTCTGTTGATTTTAAAATAAGATCCAGCCAGGCTTTTCCCCCCAAACTGACAGGGCTGTTTGGCTCAGCTTTTCTCTCCACCTTCATCTCATGCTCCTCTCTCTCTTACTAGGCTCCAGTCACTTTGCCCTTTTCGGAACAGAGCAAGAGCTGTCTCTGTCTCTGTCTCTCTTTCTCTCTCAGGGTCTTTGGATTGGATACTTCATTGGATTGACATGTTCTCTGGTCCTAAACATGACTGGATCATTCTCGACCTTCAGATCTTAACTCAGATGCTACCTCTTCAAAGAGATCAAAGCATTTCCAGTCACTCTATTTGAAAAGTCTTTCCTATCCTCTCACTTTATCTTCCTATGTAACTTTTACCACAATCTGAAATTATCTTCCTGATTTACTCTTTTGTCTCTTGACTCTTTCCCTAAGTTCCATGAGGGCAGTGATCTTGTCCATTTTGTTCACTGGGATAGTGACTGGCACGTACTAGTTTCTTGATAAGTACGTGAGTAAGGGAACAAATTAGCATGGACCACAAAAGGTTAGAGGACTTTAAGCCATGACTCTGTTAGTCATGGAGGACGTTAGGCATTGAGAAGGGTTTTGCCAGGTCTACGGGAGAAGGAGTGCATGGGGAAGAGAAAGAGAGTGAGCCCAGGTGGAGGGAAATGAACTGAGGTGGGAGGGCAGATACCGTAGGGTTTCAGAGATGGAGCAGCTCTTGATTCCACTATTGGGCACCCATAACTGCTTATGTGACTTTGGGTGTCATTGGACCATTTGAGCCATCTTCACCTGTAAAAGTTAAGGGGAAAACAGTCCTTACTATGAAGGGTTATACGTGAATAGTAATGATATATACTTGGGGTTCTTTGGAATACACATAATGATAATTGGTAGTCATTCCTACTAGTATTTAATTCAGATTGGAAGTTTGTAGAAATGTGGATGCCAAGACTTTAACTCAGTTCTACTGAATCAGAAGAGTTCTGAGTAGGGGTAGGGTAGAATTTCAATTCAAGTACTTATCCTAAGTTCCCTAGGTGTACAGCTGTTGTTTAGAACTGTGTGTTTAATCCAGGGTGGGCTGGGATTCTCTCTAAACATCTCTTGCTATGGGACTGTCCAACTTGACTAACTCTGTGATGGGAATTCAGAGTCACAAGTTCAGGGCCCCACAGGGCCATCTCCTTTAGCTTCTCAGCTTAGTTCCTGGAGATCAAGTCAATGATTTTTTACTAATCTGATGATTTTTAAAAGAAAAATATTTTTGCTACTATATAAAAAAATTCTTGTAGTCACAACTAAAGTCATTGTACCTTCCATTATTTTTGGACACGTCCAAGATGGAAGCCAGGCTGATTGGCTTTCACACTCTCATTCTTTTAGGCTCTATCGTTCTTCCCTAATGCAACTACCTGTTGCTGGGATACCTCCACAGTCTCTCCACTGAGCTCTTTAGGATTCCAGCTTCAGGCTACACACACCTACATAAACCTATACTATGGCATTCTTCATAATGTCCACTCTGCTTCCTGCGGTAACTGAACCCTGGCTTAAACTAGAAGATGTTTTGGATGTCAACAATGACTGGGCAGTCTCATAAATTATTAACCACCTGCCTGCTTGGCTTATGTACACACAAATAAACTCATGTCTTGGAATGTTTGGGGCCAGTAGTAAATATGTACAAAGTTTGATGTGGGAAAACATCAAGAAAGCAGGGGGTCCTGTGTCTGGTAAATATGTGTGAAAAGAGAACAAACCCTGCGAGCAAACACGGGATGAGAGAGTAGACAGAACTGGAGATTTATGAAATGACTGCCACATCCTGGTCCCGTAACTGCTCGTGACTTCAGTTTCTATCAACTGGAAACTAGCCTCCTTTTCTTTTAATCTCAGCCAAAAGACTGGTCAAGTGAGTTGGGCTGTTGTATTGAGGGTTATTATTTTTTTCTCTTTTCTTTTTTTTTTGGGATAACGACAGTGCCAACAGATGAGACCTTGATCTGGGAAAATCCCTTTAGGGAAATAACTGAGGTTCTGGAACAGACCAACCAAGCATCCGTAATGAGACAGAGGAGAGCAATTCCACTAAAATCACTAACTCTGAATCAAGGCTTCAGAGAAGCCACCTGTTCCTAAGGCCAAGCATGGTTGATGGAGAGGCAGGGACATATTTTATCACTTTCTCTATTTGGAATGCTTCTGTTTTAAAAGCCTGGAAGTCAGGAGTGCTTTGTTTTCTTGGCTCTTTCTATAAATTGAGGAGAAAACAAAAAATCAGAATGAACGCCATAAGTTTTTTCCCCTTCTGTTTTCAGGCCTAACGGAGACTATTGGTTACATTTGGAACCATTACTACCTTTTACATTATATTTATATTCTTTCTTGAGTAGCATTGTATCCACTAGCTCCCTACAATTGCACAACATGAGAAAATTAGCATGCTTTTCTCCTTCCCTACATCTCATTGCTCAGGTTTTATTGAGATAGTTTGGAAGTTTATTTCCAAGTTGTTATTTTTTACATTGCTTGGCCTTTAGTTCTAAAATACTTTACTAATAGTTACATCAAGCTCTATGATTGCAATTTAAATGATTCTGGAAACTTATTTGTACATCTTGCTGATTTCATAGTTCATTAGTATTTCTTCTAAGACGTGTCTGCCTTCACCCCTTTCTTAGGTTATTTTTTAAAAAATATTTTTTTAGTTGTAATTGGTCACAATACCTTTATTTTATTTTTTTTATGTGGTGCTGAGTTGAACCCAGTGTCTCGCATGTGCTAGGTGAGCGCTTTACTGCTGAGCCACAACCCTAGCCCCTCTTAGGTTATTTGTTCCAATTCATTTTCTTGTTGGACTAGAGGATTTTTTTTTGTTGTTGTTGTTACCAAAAATTGAAACCAGCAGTGCTTAACCACTGAGCCATATCCCCAGTCCTATTTGGTATTTTATTTAGAGATAGGGTCTTGCTAAGTTGCTTAGGCCTCATTAAGTTGCTTTGAACTTGGGATCCTCATGCCTTGGCCTCCCTAGGCACTGGGATTACAGGCATGTGCCACCAAGCCTGACTGGACTATAGTTATTTTTGACATTTTAAAAAAGAATGACACACATTTGGATTTTTAAAAATTCTAAAATGTCAGAAAATGATTTTATTATGCTCTTGTGTAAAGTATAGTTTGGTTGGGTCTAAAATGGTAGTATCATAATCTTTCTTCTTCAGATAGTTCTCTGTAAATAGTCCCTTGACTATTAGTAGATAGAGGTGTAGAAAAGAAATTTTATGTCAATTTTATAATTCTATCTCCCTCTTTGCTAATTTTTTTTTCTCTGAAAGGTTCATATGAATTGAATGTTTAGAAGATAAATGCTTTCTCCATTACTTTGCCTTAAAAAGTTCAGAGATTTCTTACATATTTCATTTAATATTCAGTTGGCAAGAGTTGCTACAATTGCATTATCATCTACTCAGAAGTTAATGACCTAAAGATACATAGTAAAAGGTTCTAGACAATTTAATATTTAAAGAACCCTATGATGTATTATTTCATAGACTGAGGAATTCTTTATAAGTAAATAATCTTATAATTTGACCATTCTCTAGGTGTGCATGTTTTGAAAATTTCAGACATACCTATTTGCTGTATTTCTTGACAACTGTATTTTATAAACCTACAATTATTTGATAGTTAGGATTTTCTTTTCCCAGGTGTGTGACCTTTATGATTATTAAATGTGTATTTCCAAAATGCTGATTTAGGATTAGAAGTTGGGGCTCATCACTAGTGACGTTTTGTTTCCCTTTGCAGAGATCGACTGTGGCAGCCCTCCGGAAGTGCGGAATGCCATCTTGGTGGAGAATCACAGGTCCAGCCTGGGTGGTGTAGCTCATTATGTCTGTCAAGAGGGCTTTGAGAGCCCTGGAGGAAAGATCACTTCTGTTTGCACATCGAAAGGCACTTGGAGAGAAAGTACTTTCACCTGTACAGGTAGAGATTCCATTCTGCTGGACTCCTGTTATCTGGGAACAGAACAGCCAGGGGGAACAGGGAATGTAAAATGTGAGGCCTGATTACAGCCTCACTCCCTACTGTGCCTGGTTCTGCCATTTACCCCGGTGGCTGCCTGGCTTTACATTTGTCAGCCAAATCCTGAAGATTTACAAGTTGGATTGGGAAGATAAATTGGATAGAAGATTTTATGCATCTCTTTTGAAATACCTTAAATCACTATGATTCCTGTCTCCTTGGCTTTGTGGGCTAAGAAATTTTACACCATGAGCCATTTTCTCAGAGGGACATACTCCCAACTTAGCATATGTTGGCATGGTAGCTTTTCAGAGAAGAGATGACATGATGGGAAACAGGCTTAAAATTTTTTTCTTTTATTAATTGTGGTAAAGATACAAAATTACCATCTTAACTATATTTAAGTGTATAATTCAGTAGTGTCATGCATATTCACATTATTGAACACTAATTGCCAGCATTTTAAATTTATCTTTCAAAACTGAAACTTTATGCTCATTACAGTTCCCCAGGCCTCCCTTGGCACCCTGCCATCCCACTATCTGTCTCTTATGGATTTGATTACTTTGGGTGTCTTATGGCATTTTCTATTTGAGACTGGCTTATTTCACTTAACATGATATTTTCAAGGTACATCTATGTTGTATAGCCATGTTGAGAGCCACAGCCAAAGGGGCCCCAGCAAACTTCCAGCTGCCAGCAAACTTCCAGCTGCTGGCTGATGATTGGCTCACAGCAGCCCCAGCAACATCTAGCTGATTGGCTCCTCGGCCCCAGCAACATCTAGCTGATTGGCTCCTCTGCAGTGATGCTCATTGGACTGTTTCCCTGCCCTTTCAGACCACGGAGCTGCTCATTGGGGGACTTTTTTGGCTCCGCCCACGTGACCCAGCCAATCGGCCTCAAGAGCAGGAGGATTGTGGGAGGTGGGGAGAAGCTTGTGTGGGAGAGAGAGGCTTGGGGAAAGCTGGTGGTGGCAGTTGAGGCTCTGAGGGTTTTTCCTGAGAGACTATTTTGTTTGTCGTGTGTGGTTCTAAAAATAAAGTTAGTTTCTTTTGACAAGTGGCTCCTGATTGTGCCCAGCCAGACTGCGGCATAGCCACACATCAGAATTTCTTTCCTTTTAAAGGCAGAATAATATTCCATTGTATGTATGTATATACATTTTATTTATTCATCTGTCAATGGACGCTTGGGTTGCTTCTGCTTTTTGGCTATTGTGAACAATGCTGCTATGAACATGGGTGTACAAATATATCTTTTAGATCTTGCTTTTAGTTATTTTGGATACATGTCCAAAAGTGGAATTGCTGGTAAAAAGGAGTTTTGAGATTTCTTTTCAAATTCCAGCATTGGCATCTATTAGGTGTGTGTCACTAGGCAAGGCATTCTGTATCACAGGGTGGCCAGTACGTCACCAGGGAGTTCTTGCTTGCTTGGAGGGATAAGCCTCCTAAGAAATTAAAGTCTAAAATAAATTAGTGAAGAACAAAAGACAAAATCAGAAAGATAGTTTCAAAAAGTTGGAGCCCCTGATAGGTCCAGTCCACACAGGAGCTGGAGCTAGGCAATTAGCTTTTTAAGGAGGTAAACAAACAGCAGGGATAATGTTATAGGGGCGGAGTCTTGCTTTGTGACATCTTTCAGTCAGCAGGTTGATTGGCATTTTGTAGGTCATACCCATCTCAGAGGGGCTGTGTGGCTACAGCAGGTCACCCCATCTCTGGTGCTGTGTGGGACCTTTGGCAGAGCTTGAATAGGGCTACAATGTGTCTGGGCAGTCTTACACAGAGGAAATGTCCACTGGAAGTTCCCAGACACCAGATTCTCCTATTCATTAGGCTTCGATGTGCGATAGTCCACACACAACCCACGATGGCTCTCAACAATTAAGAGCCCCAGTTTCCTCATCTATAAAAGGGACAACATTAAAAAAGTGTGCCCATCCTTTTTCAAAGAGTGCTAAGAGGGAATCCAATGAGATAATCTATGGGGGCATTTTGAAAAGTTCAAAGCACCATGCACATGCCAGTCTTTTTCTGAATTATGAGCTTTGTGTGAAGATCTTCTCATGAATCAGAAGTGTGTACCCCTACATTCTTCAATTTACCCTCAGTCCCCAAGAGACAAAGTGGGTAAAGGCAGTCATTCTTACCATTTGTGATGGTTGGTCAGGGAGTGTGACAAAAAGTTGTCACATAGTCTTCAGTGGCTCTTGGAATATATTTCTGCATTGCAACTTGGTTAGTTCCGAAGACAGGTCTCTAAGGAGTGAAATCTCAAGATGGCTTTGGTTTGGGTCTCTGGATTGATTAGCAGCAGAATTGTGATAGAGAGTCTTGCCAAAAATTTCCATGGGAAAGTCTAGTCAGAGCAAGTAAAACTTGTAGACTTCTGGTGATTATTTATCCATAGAGTGATTGTTCCTAATTTCGGGGATAGGAATTTGATGCAATCATCCATTCACTCAATAGACATCTTTAGTATGCGTTATGTATGTGGTTCTTTAGGAGGTACTACCCTCTAGGAATTTACGGGGCAATAGGGGAAACAGACCCCCCACCAAAAAAAAAAAAAATGCATGCACACATGTACAGGTAATATTTTGCAAAGAAATTCAAGACCTCTGGAGTCCTTGGGTAGAGCATCCTTGGAATAGCTGCAAAGTGCAGCTTTGCTTCTTGGGACCTGTGTGAAATTTCTACGTTCAATTCTGCCTTGAAATTTCTATGTTCAGTCATCTCCATCATCAATGCAAAACGATACAGGCCATACACTGAAATCTTAGAAACAAAAAGGATAAGAATCCTAAGACAGAGCTCAACCTTTGAGACAGGTCTCATTGACTCACCAGAGAAGCAAGGGCAAACGTGTAATGAACATCAGGTTATTCCAGGGTCTCAGTCTAACTCTTTGAGAAAATGGAGAAGAACTGGTGCTGGACTAGACTGATGGTCATGCCAACCTTTCGTTGAATCTCTAGCAGCATCTCTGAGCGTTATTTGGAGGAAACAAGGCAGCTGCCTCCTGACAGTATTCCTAGCACCCAGAGTGTCTCATGGAGTCTCTGGATAAGAGAGCTGGGTATAGCTTTTGGACCATCAGCCATTTGCTTCATGGCCCCAGCTTCTCTGCCTCTGCCATTCAGAACTCAGTGAGGCCCAAGAATGAGTCACTACATGAAAAAACAGTGGATCTGCATGGGGCATAGTAAGCTATTAATTAGCTCATCCTTGCGGAGCACTTTGAAGAACAAACATGTTATGTAACTGCTAATTATAATTACCATCCTCAGCCTGCCTGCCACCTTTCACAAAGCCGGTGGCTCCAGCTGCAGCTGTTTCTGTGGGCCCGTGCTAGCTCTGATCTAAGGGGAAAGAAAGGCCTTCTCCCTGTGAGCTGAGAGCTTCCTGTGACGAGGCCTCTGTGCCTTCAGACTGGATTGGCAGCTAAATTCAATTTCCACAGATAAAGGGAATGATTTACATGCTGATTAATTCATGGTGCAGTGTAGATGATCTCTGGGTGGGTAGGTAGGAGAGGTTTCTAGAAATGTAGTGAGATGCTGATTACCGTGGCTCTTGCCTAGCGGCCCCTTCTTTCTTCTTTCCCCTGCCTTTCACCCATGTCTTTACCCTGCTTCCCGCCCATCCCGCCTCCCTCTGTGCATTTTGTGTTTGCCTTCCTCAGTGTTCACTTTTGGCTCCCCACTCCCACCTTCCCATACTTGTCTCTCTCCTATACTTGAGTGTCGAGTTCTAAACTGAGTGGAATAATTTATCTTCATTTTATATGGATTTTTAAAAATCACCTGAAAAAGATTTTTGGAGCCCTTGTTCCTTAGGATTAGCCGCCCAGATCCGTAATGTGTTTTTAATGGAGTGTGAACTCTAACTAGGTGGTGGGACTTTTTTCTCGGCCAGTTTGGACTGGAAACTCCAGACAGCTGGGAATTAGGCAGCCACGTTAGTGTCTGGAAAATCCCCAGCTTGATGTCAGTGAGTCGGTTTACCTCAGGATCAAAGAGGCTGATTCATTCTTGATAAGGCTGTCCCTGACTTCCATTCTGCATAGGTCATTTGGTTTTTTTGTTTAGAGCCTGAGTTAATAATTACAAGGTTGACGCTACTCACTCCATGCTCTCAAGAGAGTGATGTCTCCCCTGGAACACAGACTGTTCCTCTGCCAGGATCCCCTCTGTGGCCCCTAACCTGCTCTGGGTGCTTCTGCCAAGGCTGACAGACCTTTGTTGGCCTTTGTTCTTTCTGTTTGGTTGTTGACCCTCCTCTCTAGCCCAGGGAACGCTCACCTGCAACCTTGCACATTTCAGATGGAAAAGAAAGGTCAGCTGGAATAAATGGGGATGTGCCTATAAGTAGCCACATGGCTGATTGTGTCTGACTATGTGAAGAGTGTTTGGACCATCAAACATTATTGGCATTGCTGACTGAGCACCAGCTCACATGCCTGGGGCTCTCCTGGGGGCCTTAATGCTTGATTTTGTTTCATCCTCAGACAAACCCTGTGAAGTATTCGTTTGGTTTCACAGATGAGTAATCTGAGACTCATAAAGGGTCAGGCAGTTTTCACAGGGTTATTCAATAACCAGCAAATGGTCAAGGATTTGAACTCAGGTCTATAAACCCTGAAAGCCCGCTCTCTTTCTCTTTCCTATACTTGGGTCTCCCAAGCTTGAATTATTTTCATACCATCCTGATCATGTTTTCCATAGTAAGACCATCATTTACTTGATAGGTTTGACTTTTAAATACATTTGTGTGTGTGTATTTTTTTTTTCTTTTTGAGATGGGGTCTGGCTGTGTTGCCCAGACTGGTCTTGAGCTCACTTGGATAATGTCTCCTCCTACTTTAGCCTCCCGAGTAGCTGGGATTGCAGTTACGTACCATCACATCCAGCAAAAGAACTTATATTTTAAACTTAAATGTGTAGGTAAAGGGTA